TGTGCTTTGTTTGCTTTTCTATTAGTTTGATTATGTTGTTTTCTTTTTTTGGGTTGTTGGTTTATAGTTAGGGGTGGGGACTAGAGCATAGGGAGTAGGATTTCGGATTAGAGATTAGGGATTAAGGATTAGGGATTAGGACTTTGGGGATTAGGGACTAGGAATTAGGGATTAGGGGTTAGGGGTTAGGGGTTCGGGATTTGGGTTTATTGTTGTTTTACTTCTTTTGCTCCTCCTCCTCATCATTTTTATCCTATTTTTTTCTTTTATTGTTTCTTATATGTTTTGGATTTTCATTTTTATGTGCGTAACTAATCTAATGTGTATTGTGATTTCAGTTGTTAGTGGAATGGACGAGATAAGCTTGCAAACGGAGTTTAGAAGCGAAAAGATAAGTATATCTATTTATGCAAATTTGATTGCCTTTCTTTTACATGTGAAATTTGTTTTGCACATGACTATTTCTACATCTTCTTGTGTTTCTTACTTGTTATGATCATTGTTTCTATTGTTTTCAACTCCGGCCATTCTTATTAAACAACTTTTTGCTTTTCATTTTTGTTATTGTTTTAATGTTTTATATTACCTATAATTGTATAACATATCTTTGATTATATGTGTTTTGTTTGCTTTTCTATTCGATTATTTATGTTTTGTTTCCTTTATTTGGGTTGTTGGTTTATAGTTAGTGGTTGGGAATTAGGGGCTTAGTGAATAGGATTTGGGATTAGGGATTAGGGGTTTGGGATTCGGGATTTGGGATTATTGTTGTTTTGCTTCTCCTCCTCATCATTCTTATCCTATTTTTTTTCTTTTATTGTTTCTGATATGTTTTGGATTTTCATTTTTATGTGCGTAACTAATCTAATGTGTATTGTGATTTCAGTTGTTGTGGAATAGACGAGATAAGCTTGCAAGCGGAGTTTAGGAGCGAAAAGCTAAGTATATATCCATTTTTGCAAATTTGATTGCCTTTCTTTTATGTGTAAAATGTGTTTTACACATGACTATTTGTACATCTTCTTGTGTTTCTTATTTGTTATGATCATTTTTTCTATTATTTTTAATTTCAGACACTCTCATTAACCCACTGTTTGTTGTTCATGTTTCGTTATTGTTTTCATCTTTTGCACCACCTATAATTGCATAGCATTTCTTTGATTATCTATGCTTTGTTTGCTTTTCTATTAGTTTGATTATGTTGTTTTCTTTTTTTGGGTTGTTGGTTTATAGTTAGGGGTGGGGGACTAGAGCATAGGGAGTAGGATTTCGGATTAGAGATTAGGGATTAAGGATTAGGGATTAGGACTTTGGGGATTAGGGACTAGGAATTAGGGATTAGGGGTTAGGGGTTCGGGATTTGGGTTTATTGTTGTTTTACTTCTTTTGCTCCTCCTCCTCATCATTTTTATCCTATTTTTTTCTTTTATTGTTTCTTATATGTTTTGGATTTTCATTTTTATGTGCGTAACTAATTTAATGTGTATTGTGATTTCAGTTGTTAGTGGAATGGACGAGATAAGCTTTCAAGCGGAGTTTAGGAGCGAAAAGATAAGTATATCTATTGTTTTCATGTTTTGCACCACCTATAATTGCATAGCATTTCTTTGATTATATGTGCTTTATTTGTTTTTCTATTAGATAAATTATGTTTTATTTCATTTGTTTGGCTTGTCGGTTTATAGTTAGGGGTTGGAAATTAGGACTTCTGGAGTAAGAATTTGAAATTAGGGATATGGAATTAGGGATTTGGAATTAGGGATTAGAGATTAGGGATTAGGGATTAGGGGTTAAAGGTTAGGGATTTGGTTTGATTGTTTTTTTGCTCCGCCTCCTCATCATTCTTATCCTATTTTTTTCTTTTTCTTATGTTTTGGATTTTTATTTTTATATGCGTAACTAATCTAATGTGTACTTTGATTTCAGTTGTTAGTGGCATGGACGAGATAAGGTTGAAAGCGGAGTTGTGGTGCGAAAAGATAAGTCTATCTATTTGTGCAAATTTGATTGGCTATCTTTTACATGTGGAATTTGTTTTACACATGACTATTTTTGTATTTTCTTGTGTTTCTTACTTGTTATGTTCATTGTTTCTATTATTTTCAATTCCGGTCACTCTCATTAACCCACTCTTTACTTTTTATTTTTCGTTATTGTTTTCATGTTTTGCAGTACCTATAATTGCATATCATTTCTTTGATTATCTGTGGTTTGTTTTCTTTTCTATTAGATTAATTATGTTTTATTTCGTTTTTTCGAATTTTTGGTTTATAGTTAGGGGTTAGGGATTAGAGCTTATAGTGAGTAGAATTTGGGATTAGGGATTACAGATTGTGTATTAGGGATTAGAAATTAGGGATTATGGATTACGGATTAGGTGTTAGGGGTTAGGGATTTGGGTTTATTGTTGTTTTGCTTCTTTTGCTCCACCTCCTCATCATTCTTTTCCTATTTTTTCTTTTATTGCTTTTGTTATGTTTTGAATTTTCATTTTTATGTGCATAACTAATCTAATGTGTATTTTGATTTCAGTTGTAAGTGGAATGGACGAGATAAACTTGAAAGCGGAATTTAGGGGCGAAAAGATAAGTATATCTATTTGTGCAAATTTAATTGGCTTTCTTTTACATATGAAATGTGTTTTACACATGACTATTTCTACATCTTCTTGTGTTTCTTAGTTGTTATGATCATTGTTTCTATTATTTTCAATTCCCAACACTCTCATTATCTCACTATTTGCATTTCATTGTTCGTTATTGTTTTCATGTTTTACACAACCTATAATTGCAAAGGATTTCTTTGATTATATGTGCTTTGTTTGTTTTTTTATTAGATTAATTATGTTTTGTTTCCTTTTTTTAGCATGTCGGTTTATAGTTAGAGGTTGAGAATTAGGGCTTAGGGAGTAGGGGTTTGAGATTAGGGATTAGCGATTAGGGATTAGGAATTACGGATTAGGGGTTAGGAAATTGGGTTTATTGTTCTGTTGCTTCTTTTGCTCCACCTCCTTATCATTTTTCTCCTATTTTTTAATTTTATCGTTTTTGTTATGTTTTGAATTTTCATTTTTATGTGCGTAACTAATCTAATGTGTACTTTGATTACAGTTGTTAATGGAATGGACGAGATAAGGTTGAAAGCGGAGTTTAGGAGCGAAAAGATAAGTATAACTATTTGTACAAATTTGATTGGCTTTCTTTTACATATGAAATGTGTTTTACACATGACTATTTGTACATCTTCTTGTGTTTCTTAGTTGTTATGATCATTGTTTCTACTATTTTCAATTCCCAACACTCTCATTATCCCTCTGTTTGTTTTTCATTCTTCGTTATTGTTTTAATGTTTACACAACCTATAATTGCATAGCATTTGTTTGATTGTATGTGCTTTGGTTGCTTATCTATTAGATTAATTATGTTTTATTTCCTTTTTTTGGATTGTCGGTTTATAGTTCGGGTTGGGGATTAGGGCTATAGAGATTAGGGATTAGGGGTTAGGAATTTGGGTTTATTGTTCTTTTGTTTCTTTTGCCCCACCTCCCCATCATTCTTATCCTCTTTTTTGTTTTAGTGTTTTTGTTATGTTTTGGATTTTCATTTTTATGTGCTTAACTAATCTTGAGACTGTGTGGATGCTTCAATGGCCTTTCTCTTATCCATGCACTTATCAGAGGTGTCCCTATGCTCATTTTTTGGGCATTATGGAAAGGAAGGTGTAGGAGGAGGTTTGAGGGATTGAGATTAAATGCTTTGAAATGGCAATCTTATATGATCAAACCAAAGAAAGAGGAAGGTAGAGCTGGTACAGATATGTTGCAAGACCTTAGGATTTATCCCCCTTTTTCGGTCACCACTAAAGTGAAATGTATGAATTGGGAACCTCCTGCAATTAACAAGGTAAAATTAAACTTTGATGGGACTTCCAAGCAAAATGGCCTTTCTAGTGGTGGGATGATTTTAAGGGATTCTAAGGGGCATGTTTTGTTAGCCGCTGCTGCAGCTTATGGGATTGGCTCTAATATGAAAGCAGAATGTCTGGCCTTATTGGATGCTCTAAAAATGATTATGCATCATGGTTTGGGTACTTCTCAGCTTGTTTTGGAATCTGACTCTCAAGTATTGGTTAACGTGGCGCTGGGGGTGGTTGAGGTTCCATGGCGTTTATCTATTTATATGGAGCAAATTTTAGATATTCTTGAGAAGATGAATTACCATATTAGGCATGTGTAAAGGGAAGCAAATAGAGTTGCAGACTTCCTGGCTTCTTATGCAGTGCAGGCTGGTAGGTATTCTGATTTTTCTGATAATGGTACTCTGCCTAGTACTGGCAGATTACTTCTACAACAATACCAAGGAATGATAGCTTCTGCTAGACTAAACAAGGTTTTGATAAGTGAGCATAGGCAGGGGATTGGTTGACACTGGGCTTGGGGTCTTTGTGCACCTGCTGCTTGGTTTCTGGGCAGTGTTGTGTCTGGTTTGGCTCAGGCTCAGTTAGGGTGTTGAGGCCTTGGTGATGTGCTGCTGTATTTATGGCGTTGGAGCAGGGTTCCCTACTGATTTAGGTAAGGTCCCATCTGGGGCTATCTTCTGGCTGTTAATCCTGTTGTAGGATTAAAGCCAACTTATGTTGGTCTTCCTTTTCTTCATCACTCATCATCTCTTTATGTGAGGTGCTGGATGGTTGCTGATGTGATATTTTTACTTGGGCATGGTGCTGGGCTTTGATGCAGGGTCATTTTTCATTTTGCTGATTTTTCTCTCTGCTGTGGGTCTTGTGCTCTGTTCATGCGACTGTTCACGTGTATGGCGTTTCTCTGCTGCTATTGCTTTCTGTCCAGCTGGTCCTCTTCTGTTTGGATCCTGTTCAGCTGGTCTGCTGGGGAGTGATGGTGGCCTTTCTGGTCCATTGGCATTCATTGATGGTTGCTGCTGGATCAGTCCAGCTTTTCTCCTTGGTTGCTGTTTTTTGATGGCCACTCTCTCCCCAATACTATGTCTTTGAGGTTATTCACATGGTTTCAGCTGGATGCATTATTCAAGTGCCTCTCAGATGGTTCTCTCTCGGCTGCTTTTATGGCATACTGTCCCATACATCTTGAGCTGTTTTTCAGCTTTTTCTGCGCCTTCAGCTGGATTGCTCCCCAATTTGCTGCTGTTTGCCACTGTTCACGTGACTGTGCACGTGAACAGTCAGGTTGCTGTCCCAGGTTTTTTTGGTTCTCTGCGGGCTCTTTAAAGGTTCCTCAGCTGGTTTTCCTCGGGTCCCTTTCACTTTCGCCTCTCAGCTGGTCCTCTCATGCTGCTGGTTTGATGGTTCTCATTGCAGTCAGTTGGAGCCTTTATTCTCAGCTGGTCTTTACGGGACTCCACCTGTTCTCCCTGGTTCTTTTCAGCTGGTCTTCCTCCAGTTAGCTTACTATTTTTAGCTTTATGGTCTGGCTGCTTTGATGCCTGTTAGTCTTTCAATGTTAGGGGCAGTTTGGCTCTGTTCAGCTGGTCTCCAGCTGGATTCCCAGCTGGATTTAATGTTTTTCAGCTGGTCTTCAGCTGCTCATTTTGCTATTTTATTTTGAAGGTTTAAAGCCAACTTTGGCTTCCATGTTCTGTTTAATGCTCTGCTTTTTGCTTCTTGTAATCTTGGTTCTTATCTATAAAATTTTCTCTTTATTTAAAAAAAAAAGGGGGGGGGGGTTAGGGATTAGGTCTTAGGGAGTAGGGATTAGGGCTTAGGGTGTAGGGATTAGGTATTAGGGATTAAGGATTAGGGCTTTGGGAGTACGGATTAGGGGTTAGGGGTTAGGGATTTGGGTTTTTTGTTCTTTTGTTCCACCTTCTCATCACTCTTATCTAATTTTTTTCTTTTATTGTTGTTTGTTATCTTTGAATTTTCATTTTTATGTGCGTAACTAATCTAATTTGTGCTTTGATATCAGTTGTTAGTGGAATGGACGAGATAAGCTTGAAAGCGGAGTTTAGGAATGAAAAGATAAGTATATCTATTTGTCCAAATTCTATTGGCTTTCTTTTACATGTAAAATGTGCTTTACACTTGACTATTTCTACTTCTTCTTGTGTTTCTTACTTGTTATGATCTTTGTTTCTATTATTTTCAATCCCCCACACTCTCATTATTCCACTATTTACTTTTTATTTTTCGTTGTTGTTTTCGTGTTTTATACAACCTATAATTGAATAACATTTCTTTGATTACATGTGTTTTGTTTGCTTTTCTATTAGATTATTTATGTTTTATTTCTTTTGTTATTGTCTTTCTATTGAAATTGTTAAATGTTGGAAACAAAATTTAATTACTTGGAGAGGGAGCAAGTGGTTAAATCATATGGTGAAAAATTAGGAGTTTGTAGCGTGTTAAAAATACTAATAGAATATAGAATTTAAATAGGGTTTAGGGCTTTTGTGATGAGAAATATCTTCTTGTTCATGTTGGTTTTTTTCCTTTGCTTTTTGTGTTTTACCAGCAAACTGAAACAGTGAATATAGGAATATATGATCATTCAGTTCCCAAAGCCCATCCTGTGAAGGGTAATTTTTGCCTTGGCTTGATGAAAATTTTGAATATAGTGCTTAGTAACTGGTCAAGTGTCGTATCTTGTTTGTATTTAATGAAATTATATTGGTTTCTGTCTTCTGCTTGGTGTCTGTTGTTGGGTGTGCTATTACTTCCTTAACTCTTACCTTGCAGAGTAGGCGGCAAATGGCTACATGACACAACATTCATTTAGCGGCTCCATAGATAGTGCAAACATCACTGATGATGGTATGTATCAATAACTCTTGGTTGTTCAGTCTTGCATATGCCTGCATATCATTTTTTTCATGATGAGTGATTTAATCCAAGTTTTGGACAACAGCGTAAAAGCAAGCTAATCAACGATTTTCTATGACCCCTTACATAACACCCCGTCTCACTCCAATGGGAACTCCAAAAATAATTTCCACGAGTGTGTCCCCCAGAAGGTATTCGGCTGCTGGATCTCCTCAGAAAAGTTCTGCTACCACTTCTCCAAGAAAAAATCAATATGAAGGACGGGGTGCACTGTCTTCATGGTACCCGTCAAGCCAGCAGTCATCAGCCGCAAACTCTCCTCCACATGGACACCCAATGCCAGGTTTGGAAAGCCTATTGCAATTTCCAATTCGACTTCTGGCATTAACACTGTTCACGGGAGCAGTCCCATGAGCAGTCACGTGAGCAGTGCCCTTCAACCCAGAACCAACTGCATTCAATGGAGAAACTCTTAAAACAAACCTCAGAGAGCAGCTGAAAACAAAGGCCAGCTGAAAGCAGGCTGTTCACGTGAACAGTGTGCACTCCTGCCCATAGTAGCAAATGAAAAACCGGATACTCCCCACAACTGCAATAATAAGAGACCAAGAACCCCACATGAATCCATAATGCCCAGCAAGGCCACAGGGTCCCATCTGAGGTAGGCCAAGCAATGAGGATCCCAGCTAGAAAATACCCCAGCAGACAAAAAAGCATGATCATAATAAAAAAATAGCAAATTTTTTCCTAGGCGTTTTAATGCCTTGTTGATCCTGCCTCTGAATAAATTTAGCTTGAAGAGGGATTTTCAAATCTTGTGTGTGGTCCGTTGAAGCACTTTCCAGAACAACGAGATTAGCTAAACAATCAGCCAAAGAATTCGCTTCCCTGTACACGTGAGCCAGACAGAAATTCATGCCCTCCAACAATCCCATAATTTCATCACAGATCCCCCAAAACTTCCAGGCCCTCATGTGTCCTTTCATTATCATTTGGACCATAACCGCCGAGTCAGTTTCAATATGGAGGCCATAGTCTAACAGACCATAACTTCTAAACAACAATAGGTCATCCTTCAGGGCACATAGCTCAGCCTCCATGTTGGAACAAACCCCATAGAAAAATGATGCAGCCAAAACTAAGTGCCCCCATTCATTCCTTACCACAGCGCCACCCCCAGCTCTACCAGGATTGCACTTTGATGCCCCTTCAACATTAAGCTTTAACTGACCAGGGGGAGGAGGAGACCAGTTAATCCAAATCACCTTCGGTTTCAACTCATACCTTACCTCAACCTTTATAGCCTGCAAAAACTCCGTGCCCATAATGCCCTCTGCCGCTTTGGGTCTAATACCATGAGCCTGCAGTCTAAGAGCTGAACAAACCTCCAAGAACAGAGCATGGGCATTTAAAGAGATATCTTCATAAATTCTTTTACATCTCTCCCTCCACAATTTCCAAAATATCAACAAAGGAGCACCACCAAGTAGGCTGTGATACACAGACTGCTTTTTAAAAATCCTTGTCAACCTCATCATTCGCACCATAGGAGTTTCAGATGTAAAAATTTGGAAACCACCACATACAGCTAGTTTTCTCCACACTTCGTTTGCAAATGGGCATTGAATAAAGAGATGGTTAACCGATTCCACATCCTGATAACAGAGGGAACACCTACTAGCCAATTCCACTCCAATCTTTTGGAAGTTCGAATCCAAAACCACTGCATGGTGGTGAATTTTCCAACCCAGCAGCATAGCGCTAGGAAAAACAGATTGTTTCCAAATCATGGAGTCCACAGCGTCAGGGATTTGTGCTATCCTAGACAATGCCCTTTGCCTGCCCAGAGGGATCTTAGAGGAGCAAAAAAGAGTGCTCTTTTCCTTGCTTATTTTCTGTCCAGACCCGCCCTCATATCTAGCCAAGAAAATCATCAAATGCTCCATGGATAACTTGTTACCTCTAAGGAATAATAGAGTGTCGTCGGCAAAGAGCAAGTGAGAAACCAACAGGCCACCCCTACCTGCGTGAAAGCCTTTAACCCTACCTTCCCCATATAATTGGGCCAGTCCCCTGCTTAAGACTTCCTCCGCCAAGATAAAGAGAGCAAGGGCTATCGGGTCGCCTTGTCTCAACCCTCTAGAAGATGGAAAATAGCCAAAGCATTTCCCATTGAGGCAAATAGAAAAAAATTGGTTCTACAGGCAGTTGCCAATGATAGAGACAAATGAGCTTGAGAAACCAAAACACTCGAGAGTTCTTTTTAGAAAATTCCACTCCATGCGGTCATACGCCTTCATCATGTCCAATTTAACAATCACGTTACCGGCTTCAACTTTCCTGTCAAGCTCTCCAACCATCAGCTGGGCCAGTGAAATACAGTCACCAATCCCTCTCCCTTCAACAAAACCATGCTGTGCATTTGAGATCAAAGAGGGGAGGAGGGCCGCGAGTCTGTTTGAAAGAATCTTAGTAAAAACTTTGTACAGGAAGTTGCAGAGACTTATAGGCCTAAATTCTGAAAACGAACTAGGCTTGGTCACTTTCGGAATTAAGACAAGGAGAGTAGAGTTAACAGACCTAGGAACCACTACTCCACCCAAGAAAAAATTGACAGCTTCTAATAAGTCACTTTTAATGATGTCCCATGCCACTTGGAAGAATTTTCCAGAAAAGCCATCTGCGCCAGGGGCACTCTCCATAGACATGGAGAATACAACCTGTCTCAGCTCTTAAACCCTAAACCCTAAACCTTTTTTTTTTTTTTTTTTTTGAACAGAAAAATATATTGAATGAACAAAAATTACAAGAAGCAAAGAAGCCAGGCTATGACAAAAAAGAGAAGCCAGGCAGGACAAAAAATAGTGGAAAAGAAGGCAGGCAAAGTCCAGCTGAGGGTCCAGCTAAACCTAGACAAAGGCAGCTGGAAAGTCAGCTGGAAACCAGCTAAAAAGGGAATCACACCAGCTGCAATAAAGCTGGAACCCAGAAGAGCAAAGGAGCTCCAGTCCAGGACAGGCAGCATCAAAGAACAGGGGCAGCAAAACAGCAGGCAGCAGAAGCAAAACCAGCTGGGCACAGACAGACACACCCCCAGCACAGCACATAGACAGATCAACAGGAACCAGGCCAGTAGAAGGCAGCAACCACAAAGAGGCAACATACCAACCCATGCCATTGAACACAGGGGAGGAGTCAGGACAAACAGGAACAGCCCAGGCAGACCAGAAACACACAGGTGCCCAACCAAAAACAGCAATGGACAACAATGAGACACCTCATAAAACCAAAACAAGGTCCAGGAAAAACCCAGATCAACAAAACCCAATACCCCAGACATCCAGTGCACCAACCTGACCATCAGACCTGCCTAGAACATCAGGCATTAAGTGCATACAAGAACATCCTTCTTAACCAACCCCTTGCCTATGCTCACAAATAGTTACCTTTTTCAATCTAATATTAGGTATCATGCTTTGATCCTGTTTAAGAAGTAATCTGCCAGCAGTAGGCAGCACCCCATTGGCAGGAAAATCAGAATAAATACCAGACTGCACTGCATAGTTAGCCAGAAAATCCGCAATCCTATTTGCCTCTCTATACACATGCCTAATCTGGAAATGCA